CTTCTAAGAATCTTAACCAACAACATTTCAAATGCAGAAAGAGTTACGACTCTCCATTTTACTACCACACTGGATCAGGCTTGGTCATTAAGTGCATCCAGTTCAGCATACACAGTTAATTTTCATAGAGGAAGTTATAGTGCTTCTATATCCATCCTAGGAATAAAAACAACAGAGACATGGAAAACGATGCTAAGGATGTAGATAAATGCTTGAATAGAGGATCATAACATTTATATCTTTTTATGGGTATCTGAGAGTATACAACAACAACAACATCAAGCCTTTATCCCACTACGTGGGGTCGGATACATGAATCCTTTTTCTCCATTGTGTCCTATTAAAAGTCAAATTCTCGTTTAAATCTAATAAAGAAAGGTCGTTCCTAATATTTTCTAACCAAGTCTTTTTAGGTCTACCCCTATCTTTCTTAACATAAGTCAAATCTAATACCTCTACTCTCCTAACCGGGTCATCACAAGGCTGCCGTTTTATGTGACCAAACCATCTAAGGCGACTTTCTCTAATCTTATCTTCTACTGGAGCTACTCCAACCTTTTCACGTATATGCTCATTTCGTATCCTATCTCTAAGGGTAAAGCCACTCATCCACCTGAGCATCCTCATCTCTGCCACACTTAACTTAGTATTATGCTTCTCTTTTAAAGGCCAACATTCGGCACCCAACCTTTGTATCTGAGAGTATCTTAATCAAAAAAATATATGAGTGCATGAGAAGATATTTTATAATGTTGGTGAAAAATATCAAAAAAGGCAACTAAATACCCAATATAGAAACTAGGTATATTAAGGAGAGAGGATATTAATGGACAATTAATAGTTAAGAAGTGTATAAAAAAAATATTTAATAAGGTAACATGCAAGACTATAACTCCAGATTCAACACTCCCACCAATGGTTAACTTCAAAATAAGATCCGAGCAAATAATAAGATAAAATGTTACATCACAATTATGAGTTATAGTAAGACTATATAAATAATAAATTTATTGTAAACTAGGAACATGTAAGGCATTAAAGAGAGTAAGATTGCAATAGTGTCATTTCTAAAAATAGAGGATAAGAAACCATCAACAATTATGATACATGTAAAAGAAGAAGCATGCAATGACAAATTATGAATTACATGCATGTCAGAAGTATTGAAACCAGGAAATGCCAACGGAAATAGTGAAAGCAAAGCCTAAGAAATATATTGATGTGAAACAAATTAGGAATTGCTTAGAAATTTATAAAAAACTTAATTTAAGCTTAGTAACAATAAACTAATGTTTCACCATATGGGATTTTAGGAATTTAAGAATCTCAATATTGTTATGCAATCGGTTACATAGTAGAATAACAAGAACTTAAAATAATTTCAATCATAAACATAAACTTAAATGTTGTAAACTTAAATCCACCACTTAATAATTAGAAAAGTCACCTTGAGTTTCCCTCACTTACGCTCTTTGAAAGGTCTTAGCGGAAAGAGAATCTCAGCAAACCTAATGATGCCACCACAAGTGATAGACTGAAAGTTAGCCGGAAGGGGAGACGCGGGTGGACGTTCAGTGATTCGCCAATGTCCGGAGGGTAGATGTTCTTCAATAGAAGGTGCCAAGGTGAATAAAATGTGATTGGCGTAATCTTCAACAGAGTCGTCAACGTCCAAATTGAGGTCGAAGAAAAAGGATTGAAGAATATCCACTAAACCTTGCGGGTCGTAGTCGAATCCGTGGTCACGCTAGGGATCGCCCGAGCACTAGTAAGAAAGTCAGGGAGGAATGATTGTCTTCTTCTTCTTCTCTTAGAGAACAACTAATGAAAGAAGAAAATCCAAGGGGGAGGAAGAAGGAGAGAGGGGCGGCCAAGGGAGGGGAGGGGTTGGTTTTGCAAAGTTAGGGTCAGGGTTTGGAATATGGCCAAGCAACTAAATTCTGAAATTAATTTCAGATTTAGTAAAATAGGAAAGGGGGTTTGAATTTTGAAATTTAAATCTCAAATTCAAAGGAGGGATAATGGAAGTAGAAAGAGAGGAGGAGAGGGTTAAGGGGGGAGCATATATGGGGGGAAGAGAGAGAATTGTAAGGGAATTTAAAGTTTCTTAATTCTTTAATCCAATTTAGGAAAATGATAAAGAAATCAAATCTAATTTAAAATTAAATTAGACTTAATTTTAGGAACTTTCCTAATTTAGCTTGGTTAATTTAGGAAAGTAATTAAAATTCAAATTTGAATTTCAAATTGAATTAAAATCTTTCCCAAATCATTTAGACTAATTTAGGCATGTAATAATGATGATTGAAATCATCATCAAGAGGGCCAAGGAGGTGTGGTCGGCTGCTATGAGAAGGGTAGGGAGAAGAGGACGGGTTTGTGGGCTAGGCCGAAGGCTATATGAATGGAAGGGTGGTTAAGGGTCGGCTGTAGGAGGAGGGTAGACTAGGATTGGGCTGGTGGCTTGGTGGGGAAGGGGGTGGCCGGTGGTTTGAAGCAAGAAGAAGAGATGGTTGGCAGTTTGAAGCAAGGGAGGAGTCGAACCACGAGCCGGGGACACTTCCGATGACCGGTTGGTGTTACTTTTGCCCACACTTTGGACTTCACCACTCAAGAACTCACAAGCTCTCAAAAAGAAAACCAAGAATATTTTTATTAAACAAGCATTAAACCTAATACAAGACTAAGGGCCTTATATATAGGCCTCAAAGATAAAAGAAGAGACTGAAATGCCCTCAGGGCTACAACTCAAAACAAAACATAAGCAAGGGTACAAACGTCCAACTTGAAATAAAATAAGCTAATACATGAAATATATCAAAAATACATGCTCCTAATCGTAGTCGTCGATCTCCGATGCTTCTGGTGATAAACGTCCTGATGTCCTCATCATATATGCCCTGAGAAATAGAGAGAATTCTTCTCCTATTGAAATGAGTTGATCATTTTCATCTTGAAAGATAGTAATAGAGCAAAACTTTGATGAGTACAATACCCTAGAGTTATCTATTGATGCATATCAGATTGTCAAAAGATAATCATAAATTTTTTCAACACTATTTAGGAAGATGATTAGTACAATTGCAATATGTACTAGAAATAAAGAGATTTGGATGGTTATGATAGCCACGACTTTGTCAGCCTCAACCATGATTAGCATCATGAAGATGAGATGGGGAGCTCATGATATCATGCAAGAGAGAAAGAAAAAGATAGTAAATCAACAACAACAACAAAAACAACATCAAGCCTTTATCCCACTATGTGGGGCTGGCTACATGAATCCTTTTTCTCCATTGTGTCCTATTAAAAGTCAAAATCTCATTTAAATCTAATAAAGAAAGATCATTTCTAATATTTTCTAACCAAGTGTATGAAACAAGAGAAGCCCTAATGTAATTAGTCACAGTGCAACAAGATGCAAGACAACATGCAAGACAACATAAACAAAGTGGAATTTGTGATATGGCATGGCATGAGCAAACATACACTGTGAATGCAAGCCCTAATGCAATTAGTCACAGTGCAACAAGATCGCAAGTGCCTAGCACAAAAGCAACAGCAATAATGCAGCAAGGGATACCAGTGCGTAGATCATGAACCAATAGTTACAAGTAGGAGTGAGCAATAGGGCTTGGGTCGTGGAGATCAAGCACATGAAGGATTGTAGGAGGTGAGTCGATGTAATTGGGGCCTTAGATTTTGAATGTGCAGATGGGGCTAGGGATGAATTTGAGTGGACCATAAGGCAACAAACAAGTTACTGAAGCGGATCAACAACCTTTTCTTGTGCTTTGATACCATGTTGTGAGAAGAGAATTAGATGATCTCGTTCGGACTGATGATGTCTATAAGTTTATTAATACGCATATATAATGACCACAATAGAAAAAAAAAAAGCAAAAGATTGAATAAATCTAACAAAGGGAATATAAATACATAATTTCCCAAATTATAGACTCCTAATATAATGATTTCCGAATATCACTCCCTAATAAGCATCATACACTCACAATCGTAAGTAAAGTTTTCCCATGCAATATGAAACTTGAGAAAAAATGATGATCACACGTCAAACAGTTCCAATTTATAAGCACAAAACAACAACAGCTGAGGTTGAGGACACACGTAGCATTAGTTAATCATTTTGAGCATGTTAGAAAACAAGGCGCTGCTAAATCTATTGTTATTGCACAAATTGGAAGGCATTGTACTAGAAGTATCGATCAAATCAACTCAAATTAAATTTTATAGCAACTTTTCAGATTGAACTTTTGAAGCTACTCGAGCATCCTTGAGCATATTTTCTGAGGTAAACTACATCACGGGCCCTGCCTCTGTCTATAATTATACTTGCTATGCGTATCCTGTGGCAGAATACAATAAGCATTAGTGTGAGGCATCAAACTATGAATGGAATGAAAACCTTTTGACAATTGCAAACAAATCATCTTGAATTTGACAAAAAAAAAAGCACAAAAATCCCTAACAAAAATTTCTTCAGACAATTAAAAGACTTTGTGGCCTTGAAACAAGTTATTTTGGCAAACAACAAAGTACCTAGTTATATAGGTCCACGATGGAAGCTATAGATTGAGATGTATGTGCATTGGTACAAAAGCAGTACAATCTAACCCACTGTTTACCGATCTCCTGAAATGTATTATTATTTATATATCCTTGAACTCTTGAACCATGTAAGGCAGGATTAACATAAATCATACAATCTTTTGGAACTTGAGTTGCGGTTATCTGGACAGCCATTCAATCTCTTAAATATCAAGTTACATGCTGATAAATAATTTTAAGAAATAAAACAAAAGGGTTTAGCACAGCTTGGCCTAACTTGAAAGAGGATTAATTGGGTTCATGTCAAAAAAGTTGGTAATATGAATGGAAAAAATAGGAAATAAAATTAATTTCAAACATGGTCTTCAAATGGATGGTTGGGATTACTTTTCAAAGCCATAGAGATTTTGAAATAGTGAAGTCATTCCAAATAATCCAAAGTAGATTGGATGGATGCATTTCAAATTGAGAAATGTACCCAGCTCCTTTATATATTTCATCAAAGACATAAGAAATTGTTGATAAACAAGAAATATTCTAATGTAATGTGTCATTATTGGGTATGTAATAACATTACAATATAATAAACGCCACACTATGAGCTGGATGCTGCTAAGTTTTATATGGCTAGTTTTCTAATAAATAAGATACTTTGAGTTGACAATCATAGTATTCTTTCTTGGTTTTCCTTCATATAGCCGTTTATGTAATTCTGTGAAATTCGATAGTTCCTCAAATCATCTGCATGATTACTCAAACGTCAAATTACAAATAGTAAGTATATATGCATAGTGCATCAAAATAAATCAAAACTGAACTCAAAAAAATATGTTTCATTGAAGATGGAGAGAAATGGATAACATACTGAACAAAAAGGGGACATAGAATCAGCAGAAGACATGATCATCATATTGTCAAGACTCAAGACTAATAGAAGCTATACAAATCATGAGTCAGATGGGTCAATGGTGGAAATTATAAAGCTGTTGACCTCAACTCAGCTTTCAAGTTTCAACAAAGATATAACTGAAATGCAGCCGTCAATGGCAACAAGAAAAGAAAATTGCATCATTTAACATTCAAGAGGTCTCTCAAGGTTAATTTTTCCAGAACTTCATTTTGTATTAGCATGCCTAAACATTTACCTTTTGCTTTGTTTAGGAAATAAAAATCATCATCATTAATCTTATCCCAACTATCTGGGATCAATTTTTTTAATCCTCATTTTCCATTCATTGTGTTGTCTAACACATTAATCCAATTTCTCACAAATATTTTGAAGAACTTCTATCCATGTTAGCTTAGGTCAAACAATTTTCCTTCCCAATCCTCCAAAACTAATTTTATCTACATATAATGGGTGCATTTTCTAGTCTTCGTAATACATATATAATCAGATAATCCACACAAGCCTATTTCGATTAAAATTTTGAAATATGTCACTCATGTTATTCCTCTAATATAAAATTTTATTAATTTATCCTTCCCAGATTTATTTCTCATATATTGTCCTCATTATTTTATTTCCAACAAGCAAAACTTAGATATCAATGACTACTTTTAATGTCAAACACTTAGATCCATACAACATCACCGATCCAAGAATTACTAGATAGCATCGATGATATCTTCTTATGGACAAACTCCTAAGACGCTTCTTCATTTTAACAATCTAATCTCAACTCTAAAAGTAATACCCTCATCATATATATCCAAACTTCTATATACTAGATCCAATATACTTAGACCTATCAAGTCTGGTATCACACTCTTTTCTAATAATAATTAATAACCAACAGACAAAATTACATATTCTATGTCTTGATTCTAATAATTCCAAACCCTTTATCTTCTAAATATTTTTTTCAATTGTTCTAACTTCCCATGTATTTCAACGGATATCTCACCAATTAGAACAACACACCAAGACATCTTAATTCAAATATCTTTTGTAAAGATCTCTATAACGAATAAAAAAAAAAGATATTGACTCAATGTTGATCTTTGATATTATCAGATTGCAATTAGAAACTCTTTTGCCCCTCCATAACTCAATGCCCGATTATACACATATCTAACATCTTTAAACTAGTTCTCTAAAATTAACATACTTTTTTCTAAGTGCATATTCATCACTATCTGTAATAGCTTCACAGTACTCCTCATAAGTTTAATTCCCCTAAGGTCAACATACTCTTAAACATCTCCTTTGTCCTTGAATATTGGCACCAAAATAATTCTACATTCAATTGGCATCTCTTTAATATTCAAAATCCAATAAAAATTTGTACTAACCAAACCATCATAGCATCCCTCATAATTCTCCAAATTTCAATATGTATCTTATCTAGATCCCTTCTTCAAAGTTAACTTCATTTTATTTTTTTGAATCAATCAATAATAAATCTCATGAATTTGTTAATAATTTTCTTAAAAAACATATTTCATGATTTTTCAAAGAAGCATTTCTACATATCCTCGATATCTTCATCTTAAACTTAGACCCTATTATATTCGCTTCTAATAAATGTAATTTGATCAATGTCTCTAAATCTCTTACCTCTTGTCTTAGCTATTATGTATACACACACACACACACACACACACATACATAATTGCATACATTCATATATCCCTATTTCTATTATTCCTTAATACTGAGCTTATATATAAATTATCAAAAGATAGAGATTTGCTTTCATTCATTACACTTTTTTTTACAAAGCATCATATATTCATTATATCCCCATAATTTTAAAACTTCACATTCATTTTTCTCAAGTGAAGTTACCTTAAGACGTTTTAAAATTACAAGTGTGAAGCTTAATGCACCTGAAGTGTATAATTCTAATATTAAACTTATAATCCTATTTGTTTCTAAGCATCACATCCAACCATTCACTAAGTACGAATCTGAATATGATTAAAGCATTACATATACGTTTCACCCATTGTTGGATAAAAATCCATATTTTATTGCTACGTATATTTTCCAATTGCATTTTCTCTAAATGAGTTTACTTTGAAAGATAGATTTTTCAACTTAACTAGCATGACATGTCTAATTATTTGTAGCTACATCCTAAAAATTCAAAATCATTGTAATAATAATAATTTGTCAACTGCATGCCCTCTTCATATAAGGAAAAAAAATTTTGCATACTTTTCAAATTATTTTTTATTCTTAAAATACATGTGGATAGGGCAGGAAATGAACCAATATCGTTAACGGCCTAAGATACAAATGCAAAATGACATTCATGATTTATATATAGATGAAAGACATATCCAACATATATATATGAAGCCTCAAGCCTTCTAACAAAGTACAGAGACAGAAACCTTCCCTAGGGGGTCCCTAGAACTGACAACTTGAGAAAAACCACCTGCTTGAGCCCATTTGAGAATATAGGAACTTGCAAATAATTTTATTGATGTAGTTATATTTATTTTAACCAAATATCTGATCTTAAACAAGGATTACTTATATATGACCTCCCATAAAAGTAAGACCCCATAGTTAATTCCTCTCACTTGTAAGAAAACACTCTTGATTAAGGAGGATGTTTAGGTTAATTTTAGATGTAAATTTAACATTTAGGTTTGAAGCTGATTAATGTTGAATGATTTGTGGGATGGAGGTAGATCAAGTCAAGATATTATTGGTTTTCATCCCAGATATACCAGCAGAATTAGCCTACCAACATTAAAGCTCTTTGACTGAGTAACATTCAAGGGCATTGCCGCCCTTCAAGCATCCCAAACAAATCGATGAATGTATAGCAAAAATGAGCTTTTGAGAATGATATTAACTAGTTTTTTTGGAAGATGGTTTGGACTACCAACTTTAATAATTTTTCAAAGCCAAGAAGCATGGTAGCTTACGCTTCAGAGGTACTAATACATCATCATTAAGAGTCTTAAATCCACGACATAACCATCCTTATTTACAAGATTCCGTCTAACTGAAAGAAGCATATCTAACACATGTAAGTTTTACTTGATTGAATTGATTTTAATTGATGGATTTATTTATTAGCATGAAAAGTGGCTCGAGTAAGCCTTTTTATGATTAAAGGACTTTACCCTCTACTAATGAATCGAAAATGCAAAGATAAGTACCCTTAAACAAATAATTATACAACAAGTGAACGTTGCCTGCAGTTGATAACATTCTCTATAGATGAATACATAAGTATACAACAATCGCTGCAATACTCGTACAACCTGCAGAAGTACAATGGCCAATGAATATACCTATCCCCTACAAGAAGAGGGAATTGGATATACAACAAGTGCAACAAAAGGATACAAGCATGTGTGTTCTTACAGGCCGCTGTAGAAGACCCATTGTACACTCAATCTATTGTTCATAGGCAAAATACAAAGTGAATACATCAAATACAAGCTATCATAGAAGATTCGTTGTACGCCCGGTGTGTCAACTACAAACAAAATGCATAATAACTACAGTAAATAGAAATTCATGTGACCGGCGCTAGAAGATTTGTATGTAAAGCAAGAACCACAAACAAAGGCATGTGAATGCAGTTATCTCCGAATAACTAGCAGGAGATTCATTAGTGCACTATAATCCTTCGGCATAAAGCAACAAGTAGTACACGACAATTTTCCTATATGAAATGGGCAAATGACCGTAGTGCTACGCCACGTCACCGAATCTGCAACACTCATACGAGCAGACAGAAGGCATCTACGAGCATCTACATAGAGTATTGGGGCATACCTGAATGTTGATCATTCGCACAGTAGATCAACGTTAAATGTTCCTGAAAATGCCCCCACACATGCACTACAAATGTATACACATAGACATAAAGAAGTGCATATGCAATCAAATATTCGCATGGGCCCCGGCGAGCGTGTTATGGGTACACACGCGACGTCTAGGGATGTTGCACGGGTTAATAAATAAACTCAAGTTCGAGCCCGATCCTTCTATGCTGACAAATGGAGTCGACATGGCTCGATCCATCGAACAAATATAAGATCGTAGCATCGACCGGGATATTTATTTTATGCATTCCTATAAGGCCTTCAAGGTCAATAATCAAGAAAACTCATTCACATGTGCATAAAGCCTATGGACCCGATCCTTTGTCAACAAGTTGATAGAATCATCGAACAATATTCAATCCTCAAATGCAATGACCTCATACACCCCGATGATGGCCGTGTTGAACGTAGATCTCAACCTTAAGGGGTTAATTCCAACTATTCAAATACCACCCAAATACCTATAAGATTCAAAAATTAAATATCCAAAACTCTAAAAAATTTAGAAATCCCAAATATTTAAAATTGAAATTAATCATCAACCACTTAAAGCACAAAATCCATCCACCCTCCATAATAATTTGTTAAGGTTGACAGATCTGAAAATTACTTCAACTCACATAGAGCTAATATCTAATCGAGAATATCACTAAGATTCATTCTCAAACAGTCTCTTGTCAGTAAGGACATGGCACGGGTTTTGTCGCCAAATGGCACCGCAGGTAAACAGTTAAGACCGAGGCCCTCTGAACCGAGCGGTTTGCCGCCAAATGACGCCAATAAATTACAGTCATGGCGAGAGCCCGTATACTCCCCAATGGCATCAAATCCTTGATATCTGAATCAATAGGATATAATCGATAGGGTACAAAGCCCTCTATTAGCTAAGGTGGATTCAAATTTGTCCCCTCAGATAAACATCCATCCCAGGTCTACAAGATTCC